CACAGTTTAGTTGGAAATCACGAGATGAATCTTTTGAGCCTAGTTGGTCCACGATTGGACAATATTTGCCAAATAAGACGAAAGTGGTACTATTCATCGGGTTCATTTTTTTTTGCAAAGTGAACGAGGCCTTAGGCACCATAGGTGTCTCACTGTCAATGAGCATATCGTCTATCATTGAAAAATATTGTGTCACTAAATCATGGAATAAGTACAAGAAAAATGTGTGCTCCATCGCTCTAGATCTGCCTCTCAGTCTTTTGGATGTGCGCATAAAGATAAGCTATGCATTCATAGAGAGCCGAGTACAATATATATATGTGCGTCTGTGTCTACACTGCGATTCGTACAAAAGTTACACTTAAGCACAATGCAGCAAAGAAAAAATCTATTTCACTCAACAAAGCACATTTAGGGCCTATTTGGAACCATTTTTAGTGATAATAGTTAGTAGACAAAAATTACCAGAAGAGGATCCAAATGGGCCTGTTAACTATTAGCAAATGGATGTGCTAGTTCATTAGTTGGTGAAGAGGTGCTAATAGTTCATATACACCTTCAACCAACTATCCAACCACCTATTAGCAGGTATGTATGTAACGGCCGGGTGGTGGCCCAAGAGAAGATGAATTAGGCTCGTTTGAGCAACAATCTTAGCCTTCAAAATGGATATGAAATAGGAATCTCCCAATCCCATCATTTACAACGTGTACTTTTGTTTAGACAAAGCCTTCAAGAGCGTGTTTAACTGTTCCTAAATTTATTTTAGAATAGTACAGTCTCCCTTTACAGTGTACTAAAAATTTACTCAAAATAAACATCGTTTGAGAAAATATTAATCCAGTCAATGCATCTTTTATATATGCTAGCCTTGCAGATAATAAGCAAACTAGTTATTATGAAAACATGTGTAAAGTGCGACTTATGAAATTAAAATAGACTGATAAAACCAAGTGTGTAAACAAAACTGACACTTTCCCAGGTATATATAGGGATAGAGAAATGTCTTTGATTTGATGCGCCCGGTAATATTTGTACTGTACATTACCTGATCAAAAGATGAGCTCAAGAGAGGCACACGGTACGTTGGCGTCGATCTCCTGAGCCTCTATTATTACTGGAAGCCAAAATTTGTCTATGTAACCTACATTTTTCTAGCGGTAACAATTTTTTTAAGGTCAACTACGGGAGGGATCAAATCGATCCCCACCTGATTTCATTTCCATAGATCCCGACAAACCGGTGGGGTGGAAGGATGCAAAGCACCTAAATGCAGGGGTCGACCCTTGAAGATCAAAGAAGTACATGAAAGAGAGAGAGAGGGATTACAACAACACTTAATAGAATCAACAACAACAACAATACAACGACAAGGATAATCCTAGACGCAAGTCGAGAAACGCCAAGCGATCATCGATTTGCGCCACCGCCGAACAGCATACTCGCTGGTTTCGCCGTGGCCATTGTGCCCTGCACCACTCCTCGTGGCTATGCCGCTTCACTGCCGCCCTCCATTTGAGGACCAACCAGTGGAATGGGGACTAAGAGTGGTGACGAACAAGCAAGCCCAAGATCACCGGATGATGGCACCTACAGAACTTCATAGAATTATTTTATGAGCTCTAAATATTTTATTTGGGTTGATCATGTTCCAAAGTGTCTCTGAAAATTTTCCCAAATTTTCGGAGGTCTCGGAGTATTTTTCGTGGCTTAAATATTAATTTTGGACCTTTCTAGAATTATTTTATTCACAAAATTAACTAATTCTGAAAATAAATAATATATCTCATTTTTCAACCAACTCTTAAAGCCCATGTGCAATAATCCTAATAAATCTCAAAGGCCTATGTATTTATTTACTAATGGGCTTTAATGATTATTTAGGTCCATTAGTAAATATGGAGAGTGCAACATCAATTAGTACCATATTGCTAGTTGATGTAGATGTGAAGAGTTTTTTCCCTATAAATATGTATCAATCCCTTTGACAAAGCACACCAAAACTACCGTAAGGGGAGCACCTAGTTTGGAAAATCCCTCGTGTAGTAAATTAGAATTTTCTCCTCCTTCTCTTGCCGTCTCCGTCGCCGTCGCCACCGCGCTGCCCGACGCCGTAGACCCACCGTCGACCGCAAGAAGGCCCTAGGTGAGTTCGTCGTCTTCTCCTCTTGTTCTCTATGCTCTCGGCTCATCAAACCGTGGCCTCTAGGGCTCAAACCAAGCGCTCCAGGGAGCTTCTCGCTGCCGGTAATGGAGCTCCGCCGCGCCAGTTTTCTTCTTCGGCCGGTGACTCTCTCCCCCTCCTTTCTAATCTGGGCTGTCCAGATTCAATCCAACGGTCCAAGATCGTCCGTACCTCATCGCTAGGTTTATTTGCAAAAGAGTCCCTGTAGTTTCACGTAATATAACCCGCAGTCCATGGCGCACTTCTAGAATACGTTTTTCTATTCCGAAAGCGTAGTTTCTTTCTAGTAGATTCAGAATACATTTTCTCTTTCAGAAAGCGTAAAATCCCTCTGTTAGATTCAAAATACGTTTTCTTTATTTGAAAACGTAGTTTCTTTGGTTGATCTAAAATACGCTTTCATCTATTTATAGTTTTGCCACTGGTCTTATTTAGTCCATAAAATCTTCGTTTTAACTCAGTTTTGATCCATTCAAGTTGTGTTAGATTTAATCTACATGTTCATCCTACTACTAAATATATTTTCAACTTTTAAAATTCGAGGTTAAAATTTAATCTATTATTTTATTAAAGGAAATCTTATTTAGTTCATAACTTTTCCGTTATAGCTCCGATTAGCATACTTTTCGCGTCTGTGTGTTCGTAGTAACATGTAGAACATCTTTAAAACCTTTTTACTTATTGTTTCATATGTTTGGTGTACTGTTCTAATTTAATTTATTGTTTGCTTCGTGTATGATTGCATGGATGGTTGTGTGGTGTTTTATGATCATGTCCAGTCGGTGAGCTATACGCGATGAATCCAGAAGCAATTCATTAAAGGTTTGGACTAGAAGAATGATCTAAGTTTAAGGCAAGTATAGTATGGAATCTTCCTTATTATCCTATTCACCTTAATATTATTTTAATTATATGCATATGTCTACCTTGGCAACCGTAGTAATTTTTCTAGCTATTTGATATCCTGGATTCCTCGATTCTTATGGGTTATTGCATTGGGTAGTATGATGCTAGTGCTCAACTAAAGTGATGATCTTGTTACTTGACTAATGTAATATGCAATAAACATTAAAAGATACTTTTTAGCAACATGGAACAAGGGGGCTAGAGCATTGGGCTATTTTATGATGCTCTAGATTCTTCTCTCTAAGGACTTATCTGTAAGCGAACACCTAGGACTTATAGTACAGCTATGAGGGCTACATGGCTCTAGCTTTAGCTCAGTATGAGAACATTTTCTAGCTTGTCAGTGGTTACCTTTATGGCGCAAGAGGGGCTCCGACAGGTATGATCTCGGCCTACCAATAGGGTGCACTTTGGTTTCTTGGTATTTTGTTAGTCTCTCCTTAGAGGGGGTACATGGTTATTGATGGGGAAACCTTAGCGGCTCTAACTTGTTAGACGAACCTTTGAAAGACTTCATAGTGAACCCTGCCGACCTTCCTTGATAGTGGGTCAAGAGGTTGGCCGCCTCGGGCGAAAGGGTAAATCATGACTCACAGTGAAAGTGTACAACCTCTATAGAGTGTAAAACTGGTATATCAGTCGTGCTCACGGTCACGAGCGGCCTTGGACCCTTATGGAATAGATGAAGAACATGAATGATACCGATGATAAAGATGCTCACTAATGATTACTGTTTATGCTATTCATTATTTATGTTTACCTGATCATGTGTTTATATGGGCTTGTCAATAAACTTATTGCCACCCAATTACTAAAAGATAACTCATTAAAAACTAATTGCAGTTAAACCAGTGTCAGCCTTTTGAGCCTCATGAACCCCATGTTATATTTGTTGAGTACGACATGTACTTACGCTTGCTTTACTTTTTAAATCTTTGGAAAAATCCCGGATGGGTACCAGATTGCTAGAGTTTGAAGGAATTAGGCTTGTGATCAATCAGTCAGTTGTCCCTGTGGAATTGAAGTCTTCACCCGAAGATCGGAGTTGTCTTTCCATTATTTGATGTCTAAGGTTATATCCTTTATACTAAATATGTTGTATATTAAGCATTGTTTATTGATATTACCTTTATTTGTAGTTATATATGAGATTTGACTTCCTTGGCTCATATATGGTGTATATCTGGTTTTATCCTTAAAATCAGGTGCTACAATAAGTTTCTCTATCGTTTTCTATGTTTTTTTATTTCATTGTGCACCTCTGTTTGTTCTTGTAAGTGTGATGCATTTTTTGTGCTAAATGTGTTGTTATGGTTTGCTTGATCTATGTCATGTTGTTCAATGCTCTAGGTTCAATTTAAGTAGTAGTTTCAGTATGGGTTTACTTCATTGTCAGTTTTGTATAATTTATTTTGATTTTAAGTGTTGGTTAAGTTGAGTTCAACCTATTTTTAGTCTTAGTTTAGTTTAATAGAATCTCTTTTTAGTTGAAGTTAACATTCAGTTTTATTTAGTAGAATCTATTTTTAGTTATAGTTTAATTGAAGTTGAGGTTAAGTTTATTCAGTTTAAGTTCAAATTGTATCAGGCTTCAGTGTTTTAGCTGTTAGTGTAGTTATTATTCAGAGTTTTAGTTTTGTAAATTTATATTGTTATATCAGATTTTCTTTCATTTTCAATTTTTTTCATTTATTGTGGTTAGCTTATATGTTTAGTTCAGTTTCTGTTTATTAGAATTTATCTTTATTTTAAGTTCAGGTTAAGTTGATTAAATCTTATTCAGAGTTTCAGTATGATTTTTTCTTTTATTTCTTCATTTGTGTGTGACCTGTCAAGCATTCATGTTTAAAATCATTTCTGATCTGTATGAATAGTTCTCCCTCATGTAATTTTTTATAGTATATTTGCAATGACTATCCCTTTGTCTTACTTCAGGTTAGATTCATGTATTAGTTGTTTGGATTTAGAATGATCCTCTTACTTCAGGTGTTTATTCATTTTAGTTTCAGTTCTGTTTCATTTTAGTTTTGTTTCACTATGAGTCATCATTCAGTCATATTTAAGTTTTGTTTTTAGGTTTACTATTATTGTGTCATTTCATTTTCAGTCTCAGTTAAGTTTCAGAATCATCCTCTTAGTTTAGTTTTCCTTTCTAGTTCAGTTTAAGTTTCAGATTTCTTAATTTCAGGATATGACCTGGATAAATTCAGCTTAAAGTAGAATGTTACAAAATTTTCAACGATATGACCACGATAAATTCAAGAAAAATTAAATTCAATTGTTTGTTAGAATTTATTTCGATTTTAAGTTTAGGTTAACTTGAGTACATCCTATTTTCAGTTCAAGTTTAGAATAATAGAATTTTTTTAGTCTAATATATTTTTAATTTTAGTTGAATTGATGTTCAGGTTAAGTTTAGTAGAGTTCTAGTTCAATTTTTTATCAGGGTTCAGTGTTTTTAGCTGTTAGTTTAGTTAATATTCAGAGTTTCAATTTATGATTTTTTTGTTATATCAGCTTTGATTTTATTTTTCATTTATTGTCTTTAGCTTTTATGTTTATTTCAGGTTCATGTTTATAGAATTTATTTCCATTTTAAGTTCAGGTTTAGTTGATTACATCTTATTCAAAGTTGTTGTATGTTTTTTGTTTTATTTCGCCTTTTGTGAGTGACTTGTTAAGCAATCATGTTTAAATTCACTACTGATCTCTATTAATAGCTGTCCTTTACGTATTAGCTTGTAGTATATTTGCAATGACTATCCTTTTGTGTTAGTTTTACTTCTTATTTTGATCCTTTGTTATGCTTGATTATTATTTTTGTTTGTAGATGGATACTAGAGGTCAAAAAAGCGTTGAATTGCTGGTTTTTTTCCGAAGCTGATTTTGTTGATTTAGAAGATAGTCAGAGTGATGATGTGATGTATTCTCAATATGTTAATGATGATTCTTTTGGTGATAAATTAAGTTCTGATGTTGAGATGTCATCTGAGGTAAGTTTTTTAATTTGTTCAGTTTTATTTTATTGTTTTACATATTTTAGTTATAATGTTTGTTTTTGGTCATTTTTAGGATTCTTCATCAGATGATTCAGCTGTTTAGTGGTTCAATAAAACTTTGTATGAGCAGTGTTTGAAATATATATGTTTCCTTGTACCATCTGTCCATCATGTCTGTTTCTTTCTCTGTTCAGTTTCACTTGTTTTTTAATTCCAATAGTGAAACTTGTATGTGGCTAGTTGCTTGGTTTTGTAGGCTGTGTATTATTCCTCATTTTTAGTTCTACAAGGTCTGTGTTGTGCTGGTGGCTACATCTGGTCTTGAGATCCATATGACTGTGATGCCAAGCTTCACTCCCTCCATTTTAAATCTTATTTTGCATTTCTGCTGACCTTTTTTTATTAATTGTTGCCAATCTTGTGCCGTTATAGTCCGGAATCAGAGTTTCCTATTGTCAGTCTTGATCTATCAATGCTGTGCCACTCCCAGTTTGTGGATGGTCATTATTTTGCTTATTATTGATTAGTTATCTCAGAAAATCAAATATCTGACCACCTTTAGAATTTTAGTGCTTTTTGCTTTTGTCATTCTCTGTGCTTTTCTTATATTTACTGTTTAATATATTACACTTAATATGTCATTGATTAGTGAAGATGTTTTTGTTTCTTTTCTTTCCTTATATTTTTTCAATGAAGCTATCAGTTTGTGGTAGTGTAATCTGTATTTTGTTTTAGTGCAATGAGAGTTGCTATCTCTTTTGAAGATTTGTTTGAATTGCCCTTTTAGATTTAATTAGCTATTATTGTTTTTTATATTTTTTGTTTTTAAATTCCCTTCATATAAATCTTTATTTTTACTTTATATTTTTTGTCCTTATTTTAGTATGAAAGAATCAGGGCCTTAAAGCGTATATTGTCTGTGGCTTTGCTAGCTCAGGTATTTATTTATTTTCTTCTTTTCTATTTTTAGTACAGTATATTTTATTTATTTTTCTTTTCTTTGTTAATATAGTCCAAGAAGCAGAAATCTTGAAAGGCTTCGTCTGATGGGTTTACTAGGCAGTCTGTTAGTAAATTTGCTACTGTCATTAGTTCATTGTCTGAAGCTAAGAAGGATGTTATCAGGAGATATGGATTTGGCTCTTGGCTGCTTTTCGACAAGTGTTTTGTGCCTAAGAAGTTTTCTAAGTGGCTGGCGTCTCTTGTTGAGTCGAAGTCTGGAGATCTTATTGTTCATAGAAAGGTTATATCGTTGACTACCAAATCTGTGAATCTTGTTCTTGGTTTTCCTATTGGTGGTACTCCTTATCCTTCCAATTATGCTGCTGGCAGAGCTATTGTTCTATCTATGATGGACAAGACTTCTTTACCTCAAGTTTCTTTCTTTGCTGAAAAGTTGGCAGATGATGATCTTACCGATGAAGTAGTGCTAATCTATTTTTTTGGTTGTGGATCTACATTGTTTCCTTTGTCCAAACTCTAATTTGGTTCCGAGCCTTGCTACCTTGGTGTGTTTGAAGACCTTGAGCATATTAGTTCTTTTGATTGGTCAGGGTTTGTTTTGCGTTGGTTGCTTGATGGTGTTAAGAGTTTCAACAAAGGAAAGAAAGATGGTCAGAAAAGTTTTGGTACTCTTGGTGGATGTATGTTCTATCTTGCTGTAAGTTATCTCTAGTCTATGTGCATTGGAATTCTCAGTTTTGTATCATTGTGTTTGAATTATTTAGTTTATTCTAATTTTTTACTTTTTTTGTTTTTTTTGCAAGGCTATGTATTTGGATCATGTTGACTTCTTTCATCGCCGTGTATCTGATACCTTTCCTCGAATTGGAGTTTGGAAGCAAAATATGATCAGAGATTTTTCTGACCTTGATATAAAATCTCCCTCTGGTTATGGTATGAGGCCTCTTCTTGATTTTGAGAAGACATGCTATCACAAGATATTTTTTGTCATATTTTTCTGTTTATATGTTTTTATGTTTTAACATTTTTTTCTTGTTTGATAGGTTTTGACTTCTCAGCAAGAATTAGTTTCTGGTTGTGATGTGCCTAATAATTTGAAGGCTAGTTTGTTGAATGTCATTGAAGAACATTGCAAGGGTTATCTTACTTGTATTCCTATTGATTTGGTCTCTCTTGGTGCTCTTCCTGATGATTTGAAGACCATGTTCTCCAAATTGATGAATCATGTATATTCATTTAAGCAAAGTCATATGAATTAGTTATTAAGGTTTTGAAGGAGTTTGCTGATTATGAAAGTTCTTCTGATCCTCATATTGCTTCTCCTAAGATGGCTGCTGCAACAGGAAATGTAAATGGTTTTCATCAACCTCATGATTCTCAGGTATTACTTCAGTTTGTTTTTTATGTTTTTTTTATTTATACATTGTTTTGTCATTTGTAATTTTCATTCATGTGAACTGTAGGTTAATGTTGAGAAAGTTGAAAGAGCTGATCTCAGTGAGTTATCTTCTATGCCCATCCATTGTCTATTGTTTTGTTTTAGTAATGATGTGTTTGAATTTGTTGTTTTATTTCATGTGTTCATATTAGTTGCTCCTCTAGTTGGTACTCAATTTGGAGGTCACAGTGTCATGGGTGTTGTTCCGGGTTCATCTTCCAAGTGTGAGTTATTTATATTTTTTCTTTGTATTTGTGTTTCATTAGTAATATTTTTTTTGTTTTTAATTTATTATTTTTAAAAATTTTATTAGGTGTTCCTTCGTTTTCCAAGAAGCAAGTTACATTTGGTTTAGCTATTCCTCCGAATGGTCTTTCTCAGCCAGATGATCTTTTTCATAAAAGTGTTCATCGAGGTCATCTTGTTGGGAAATCTTCTTCTCAGTCTGTGCCTGCACATGTTGTTAATGATGTAATTCCTATTGCTAAAGATCATGATTCTGATGTTTTAGCTGGCGAATTTAAATTTCTAGATCATTTTACTACAGTAAGTTATTTTCCGTATTGTTTTCTTTTGTTGCTATTTACATTTTTTGCATTTAATCTTATTATATTTTTTATGTTGTATTTGTTTATTTTTTGTATTTCTAGGCTCCAATTGTTATGCAGACTCTTCCTTTTTCCGATGATGAGTCTCCTAATATAACTCCTAAGCTATCAAAGAAGTTGCCTCCTATTTTTCAGCTCAAATCTTCATCTAAGGCTGGTTCTTCTATTGCTGCTCCTGTTAATGTAATTATTTACTTGTTGGTTTCTTTTAATTATTATTTTTTGTTCTATTGATATTATTTTTATTTGCTTTTCCTCTTTCTCTTTTTTGGTAGGTGTCCTCTCCTGAAGTTACTATTGTTGGTTCAAGATCTCTATCTCAGAAGCTTAGGTCGATGGGAAAGAAATCAGAAATTTTGTATAATTCGATATTTCAGAATTCAAATTCTAGTGTGCATACTCCTCGTGAATCTGTTTTGAAGATTGGTGGTCATTCATCTTTGATTCTCAATCAATTTGCTCAATCTTCAAGTAAATCTGATTTCAAGATTTCAAAATCTTCTACTAGTGGTAAGGTTCCTCTTCATGGCCCTAGGAGGACTGTTAAGCCAAGTCAGTATATGGGTGATGAATTTGAGATTGAAAGAGGAAAATTCAAAGTTAGCAAGTCTTAGATTGTGAATTACAAGGCTATATGTAATTTGGCCATGCCACAGTACAGTGGGTATGTTTTTATTTTTTTGTTTTGTTTTTGTATTCTTATATTTCATTTCTGGTTTTCTTTATCTCTTTATACTTTACTAGGTAGCGTGCCCATGTGTTGCTACGGGATAACTAATAATTTATACTAAAAACACATGGATCGCATGATAAGATAACAATACTGTTAAATTAAATACCAATGTTAAAGTGACATTTAATCCAAAAAGCAAAGTTTATGAATTTAAGACAGTCACGGAGTGCGCGGCGTCGCAGGCTCACAAACTTTAGAGCTTCCAGAGATTGGGTCGAATCCAACCTAGAGCCTCGGAACCCTGCATCTTTTCTTGGACGGGCTTCACTTCGGATGTACCGATAGCAACATCAACGATCTCCAGTCGATGGACCAAGTCGTATAGATCTCTGTACAATGGCTCAGACATGTAGATTTTGTTCTCCTTGTACTTGGATACACTTGTTTCACTGAAGCTTTCATTAAAATGTCTAGACACGAATAGTGTCTGATCACCGATGTCCCTCACCCTGGACCACTCCGGTGTACGGTCATGGAGGTTGCACTTGTAGATCGTGCTGCTGTAGGTGAAGCTTTGTGTCTCATGAAATGTGCTCACCATGGCACCCACAATGTGCAGTTCACCGTTTGATTCCAGGTAGCTGTGGTGGCAGAGCCTCGTAGGTGGCGACAGCGATGGCAGCAGCATCGCGGTTGGAGAGCACCGGCGGCGCTGCTGCTGTAGACGGAGATTTCTCTAGTGCAGTCGATCGCCAAGAACTTATCTTGGCAGTGGACGATGGACCCCACGGAGAACTCCAGTTTGGTGTCGAGCAGCGTCCATGCGCTGTCGACTCCAACCTGACAGAACGCGACCTCCGTGGAGCACCCAAGCATGGCCATGGCCACGCACTCACGGTCGGCGGCGTCAGGCGGCGTCGAGAGCATGATCTCACGGAAGAACGCGTCCCTCATGTCTTCTAGCTTGATGGCTCTACCTACAGCATCCGCGTCCCCATAGCCGTTGGTGGGATGGAGGACCCACCGGCCGTGGACCCTAGACACGCGTTCCGATGAGGACGCCGCCGCGACGTGTTCGCCTGCTGGCGGGAGCTCAACGCGGGGGGCACGGGCACCGACGAATGGATTCAACAGCGTCACAGACGCCGCCTTGTCCATGATCGCTAGCCACCCACACGAGGAGCCGCACGCCACCTTGCCGCGCACATCGGGCAGCATCTTGGACAAGACCTTCTTCTTCGGGACACAGTAGAAGCCGGCGCGGTCTGAGTCAGGGTCAAACGGGAGCAGCAGGAGCGGCACGAAGGTCGCGAATGGGACGGCGGCGCGCCATGGGGAGCAAGCAGATCGGAAGGACGCTGCGTCGTGGCCTGAAGTGAGATGCTGCCCGATAGACTCGAGGAGATCCTCTGGCAGGCCGGATCTCCAGTCAGGGAGATGTAGGGACCTTCTCTTGGGATTGGGAGGCTGAGCCATGGAAGACAGATGACATCAACTATGGTTCACGTAAAAAACAGCTAGCGAGGCCGATAGAACACGTGGCCGCGAAACCAAATGAAAGGAGGAAAAAGATGTCCCTTTTGCAAATGCAAAGATGGGAAGTAATTAAATGTAGACAGATTTGGCAAGGTTCTCAGAAATGCAAAGAGGTTCCTTTTGTCTTAATTCTCTATCCTTCTGTGTTAATTCTCTTTCCTTTTGCTCGTTGCCATGTATGCTAGTGCATGCAAACATGCAATGTGTAGATGGATAGCACAATAATTTGCTACTTCCTATTTTGCCGTGATTCCTTTATCACATGACAGGCAATATTCAATCAAGGAGAATGGCATGATCAATCAGTAATTAAGATTAACTTGTAATCAATGTGTAATCGATTTGACCAGCCTATAGTACGCTGTATATTTATTTATATAGTAGCGTGCCCGTGCTAACGCTATGACAACATTCGGGTGTGCAAATTAGAACCACCGAAAGATATCACAAACTGGTACTCCCTTAAATTAGGTTCCAATGGTTTCCTTTATGGATAATTACATTGCAATTCCACTAATTACCATACAACTACATATATAATTGAAAATATATATATACTAACCTCTGAAATTATTTTGACTAAATTGACCAAATGTTGGATCAAGAAAACGAAGAAAAAATATACATGGTGCATTATCATATTCTAATAGAAGAGCTTGCAATTTTATATATCGACACATATCTACATAATGCCCATCTTATTTTAGGCAATGAATAAATGAATGCACACAGTACCATTAACATAATCAACAAAATGAATCAAGCTAAATTGAAAAAATAAAAAGAAACAAAATCATGACTTAAAGACTATACGCACGTCACTCACGGTCACCTAGATTGGGAACGCCTGATGCCTTCATCTCAAGCTACATCTTTTCCAGTCTCCATGTGAAACTAAAACAATCAATACTTTTTCCATCCCTGCCTGCATGCAAATAAAAAAGAGAGATACGTTAGGTACCTAGCCAAATTATGTGTCTTGTGCAAAGATGGTGAGCAGGACTCTAGCGAAGAAAACACTTTGTAGCTTGGTGTTGAGGATCTGTCAACCACAGCGGTTTATCAAGTACGGTATTTGTTAAACTAAAGATCAGCTCAACCATTCAAGTGAACATGAGAACAAGATCCTTTTTTTTATTTCTTTTGAGCAAACCTATGATAGACAAATATACACTCATTAACTAAAAATAATAATAACCTATGATAGACAAATATACACTCATTAACTGAATAAATAATCAGACAAAGGCATAATCAGTGCCAAAAAGCAAAGTTCATTTCATGAGAGCAGGAGCAAGTCTAGATAGACAACCACATATATCTAAATTAGTACGATGTCTGTTAGATATACATACATTTGTTAGTTTCTTATGGAGCAATTTTTGCATAAATGTATAGCCATGAATCTGGCTAAAGCTTGAGAAGATAGTGATTGCAGTACATAAACCGGATGACCAACCTTGATAAACGTTCTAAAAAATGCGGGATATACAGTATGCCCGTGCATTGTTATGGGACAACTAAATTTTTATATTACAAATACACAGATCGCACAATAAGATAACAATACTGTAAAATTAAATACCCACATTAAAATGACATCAATCCAAAAAGCAAAGTTCATAAAATTAACACGGTCACGAAGAGCATGGCGTCGCAAGCTCACCGACTCTACTATATAGACCTTTCCAAATTTTTGTTGACTCAGATAATTAACAAATAAGCAATGCCCCGCCACATTTTTGTTGACTATTCACTGTGTTTTTTTAAGAAAACATGTGATGGAGAGACATTGTTGGTTTTTAGTTTTTTTACATCATCACTAATCCAATTGAAGAGAGAGGACCATAATTTTTTTTAAGAAAACAATGTCTATGAATTGTCACATTCTCAAAAAACTGAACTGGTTGTCATCTTCCTATTTTTGCTAGTAAAATTATCTGTGCTTTATATGTATAACCTAAAAACTGAACTGCTTGTCATCTTTCTATTTTTGCTAGTAAAATTATCTGAGCTTCATATTTATAACCTGGACTCAACATGGCCATGCCAAGACATAAAAAGTTACCTTAGTTACAATATCATTATATTAAGCTCAATAACATGGCAGCTGATTGTGCTCTACATCAAGCATTAGTGTATCAATGCCAACCATTGACTCATCCTCTAGAGTTTACAAATGTAAGCCATGGCAATAAATTGCAACAATTCAGGGCAAGTTCAGTGAGAAATCTCTCTTTTTCAAGGTTTAACTTCAGTGAGAAATCATCATTCTTTTTTCTTGCCTGCCTACATCAGATTGTTCAAAAATAAGCAAAGATCAATCCACAAACATTTTGTAGTGCAGAGATAACTTTATGACCTGGCTTGGTGTTGCTGTTACGGGAACACCAATTCATGGCTTGGTGTTGCTGTTACGGGAACACCAATTCAGTGAGCGAGGTCTAGAGGTGCAAAGGCCTGATTCCAAACATCTGAATACCATCCAGTGTAATAAAAAAAATTAGCAAGCCAAAAATTCAGTGGCCATAAAAAAGTTGACAAGAGAAATGTATCTAATATATTTTACCAGTAAAGTATCTAACATTGGTACACCAAGCTCATGAATTGAGACTATCAGTAAATAAATAAGGCTTGAGCTACTTGAAACGAGATTGGTACAGACAAAGGGCTAACTATGCTAAAAAATAATGGCATCCAATGTGCAGGCACACAACATCAAAAAATAGATGATTAACTATATAACAAGAACATCTACAGCATCATGAACTATGGTTGTGTAACATCATGAACGGCGAGCGATGGAGGATGGGCGACATCAATCGGTCTACATATGCGAAGACGATGGCTCGGGTGCACGACTCAGGTGGCGTCGAGGTAGCGGCGTGGTAGCCGAGGATGATAGCTCGGGTGCATGGCACGGGCGAACGGTGAGGACTACGACGCGGATGTCGTGGAGGCAGCGGTGTTTCTAGGTGCACGATGTGGGCGAACGATGAGGACGACGGCGCGATGTCGTGGAGGCGGCAGTGTACGTGGCGCACGGCGAGGATGACGGTGCGGGCACATAGACCAGACGATGGAGCAGGTCGTGGAGGGGAGATCACACGGGGAAGGGAGATCACACGGGGAGGTGATCTTGCGGTGACCTTGCGGAGATCGATGATGTAGCCACAGGTGCATCCACTGGTAGGCAGACAGTGGATGATCCAATGCTGTTGATTCTCCACTACACGATGAGGAAGAAGTAGGGGCATCTCGATCGTGCAGGGGCTTGAGGAATGGGGCGCACGATAATCGTCTCCGTGCAGCGACCAGTGACGCGCTTGAGTCCTACCAAGAAGACGCGTTCGATCGTGCAACGACGAGCGACGATGGTCTTCCGTGTTTGTAGCGCATGCAAAT